TTTCTGATGTTCTGCCTCGGACAAAACCCAAGGCTTGTTCACTCCAGTTGCACTAACCCTGGACTTACATTGCTGTGTATACACATGATAAATGGCTAAGTGTTTATACGAATGCAGGCAGCAGTTTGAAAGAAATTATGGGTATTGCTAAATATCAAAAGAAGACAGTAGTCTCAAATTTTGTATAAAGATCTATGTGAGGAGGATCTTAGTCAAACTAAACTTCTTTACTGTACTGTTCAGAATAGATTATGATATAAATTCTGAGACCTGCCCCCCAGGACCAGAAAATTGGTGAAAATACTGGTAGTCCTCACCATTTTTGTCAGGTGCTCACAGGTAGCTTGTCTAGTTCCTTTAGCAGGCCTTACAGTGAGGGACAAGACATTGACCAAAATGCTGAAAAGAATTTTCTTAGGGCTGCTAAGCAATAAAGAAAATTAATCATGATAATTCATAAGATTAAAAAAATCACAATTAATCAGTTTGAATTGCACTGTTAAAAATACTTGAATATCATTTAAATATTTTTAATATTGTTCTACGTTTTCATGTATGTTGATTTAATTTACCACATAGGATACAAAGTATACAGTGTAGGGATGTTAGCATATAGCCATTTAAACAATTAACCACTTTCGGTTAATTCAAATGATTATTTGTGCACCTCCACCCCCTTGCTGCCTTTGTATGAGAGAGAGCTGGGGCCAAGGGAGGGTGGGAGCTGGTGCCGATGTGGAGCTGGGTTTTAAGCTGGCTCCCCATGCATGCCAGGTCCTGTGGAGCCAATTGCCTTCCCCCCACCTTGCTGCCTCCCACAGAGGCAGCAGCACGGGGAAGGGAAGGCAGGTGGGACTCCTGCCTGCTCCATCACCCCGCTTTGCTACCTCTGTAAAGGGGCAGCAGCATGGAGGGAGGAGCAGGTAGGAGCTGGTACATGTGGGAATCCAGTTTTCAGAGGCTGTTACCTCTGATACAGAGGCAGTAGTGTGCGGGAGGGGGCAGATGGGAGCCAATATGCATGGGGAGCCAACTTTTAAGATGCTTGTGTCAGGGGCATAATTACTTTTATCAACCATTCTAGTAATCTCATCAAAGAATGAAATCAGGGTTGTTGGGCAAGACCTTCTTTTCAATAAAACCAGCAATCTCACTCCTATCCTTTAAATCTTTCTTAATTGAATCCCAAGCCAGCCTTTCCCTTTTTACATAGGACTGATGTCGAGCTAACTATATTATTGTTAATAAGGTCATCCCTGTTGCACTTATTGTATATTAGCACAATATTAGGAATCTTCCAACCTTCTTTGGAATTTTCCCAAATATTCCAAGTTTTATTAAAATTGAATGTTAACTTGCACCCAAGTATCCTAAAAGAGGTATCTGGCCTTGTTGCTTTTATGCTTATCCCCAGTTTAATATCTTTTTTAATCACTAAGAGTTTGTAAGTCATTTCATCATCCTTATATGATTATGACATCTCACTTCTTTCCAAAACTGAATAAAAATATATATTGAATGCCTTTTGTGCATCATTGTTAACAATTTACCATCTCCATCTAGTGTATCTGAAATATTTTAGAATAGCAAACATAGAACATTTTAGAAAAATAATGGGGCTTGTTTGCAAAAGATCCACAAATCCATAAGCCATTATTTGCCTACTATTATATTCACTGAATACTATTTCACCAGATCAGTTTTTAATAATATTGGAAACATCGCTCAGTGCTCTTGCTGGTAACTGTGTCCTAATTGTTTTGAAGGTGGAGCTTCTGTTCTGAGGCTGTTCAAGGGAAGCAACTCATGTAATGGGATAGTGGAGATGGAACATAATGGTCAGTGGACGAAGCTATGTTTTCCTGCCTCACATGCTGAAGTGGTTTGCCAACATTTGAGATGTGGATTTGTCATTAATATCCATAATGCTGCCCATTTTGGAGATGATTCCAGGCCATTCTTGATCGTAGGAGATAAAAGCACAAATACAAATTCAACATGCTCTCACCCTTTCTATGCTGGAGTGACCTGCACAGGTAAGTAACCAGCCATCATGCTACTTGAGTATATCTGGCCCAGAATAATTTCTTACTGGAAGAGACAGGTTTATTTGGATTCTGGAAAGGGTGAATAAGCATAGGTCCATCCAAAACAAAATGCTGGTCCCCTTGCTTGAGGGAGGTACCATAAAGCCGATAAAACAACTGAGTACATGGGACAGACAAATGCAAAACCAAGAAGGGAGTAAAGGTGCTGGAAGTTACAAAAGTAGCTGGTCCAATAAGATACAGTACTCCCAGTATGTTGGGCATAGGGTGGCAGGTGTAGTATGTGATCCAATGTGGGTGGGGGAGGAAAGTTACTAGTTATTACATAAGGATGTGGCTCAGTTGATCTGTCCAGTAACTCTGTCCTGTTTCTTTTTGAAGGTTGGGTTGACGATCTGAAACTGGTCAATGGAAGCAACTCTTGTGATGGCAAAGTGGTAATTACATTTGGTAAACTGAGCTTTGCTCTGTGTTCTACTGTCTCACCTATGAAACATGCTGAAGTACTTTGCAAACAGCTGGGATGTGGTTCTGTAGTGAGTGTCCATAGTGCTGCCCATTTTGGAGAAGATTCCACACCATACTGGTTGATAGGAGATGTTTGTCAGGGTAGTGAGATGACAATCTGGCATTGCGCAACATCAGCCTGGAATATAACCTCAACGTGCTCTCACCGTTTCCATGCTGGAGTGATCTGCTCAGGTAAGACATCAGCCATCCTCCTTCTTACCATCAGAGAATCAAATCCAGAGTTTGTTCCTTTCCTGGAAACTAATGTAGAAGTAGGTAAATATGATCAAAGCTTGAAAGTATTACTCTAGTGCTATATGAGCAAATCCCTGGGCAGTTCCCAGTCTGATATCTTTAGAGTCCCTTTTATTAACCTCACTGCAGTTGTTGCAATACCACATTTTATATTTTCCTTTTATAAATTTTGAATTTATTATGTCCACACCAGAAAAATTGTTGATATTTTAATAAGCTATTTTAGCTAGACAAATAAACTATGTCTATCAGCATGGCTTTAGAGTGCCTATACTAAAAATCCATAAAATCCTGTTGAGTGATAAAGGAAACAGACTCCGACTTTTCTCTGTGCAACCTTGTGAAAGGTCCAAAAGTATCAGATAATCAGGGATTTTAATGGCAGAGAGAGTTGTCAAATCCAACTAAAGCACCATGCAAAATATTTTCCTACTAAAATTTCTTGCCTTAAGCAACTCATCTCATAGTGCTTCTGTTATCTCCCATAGTGTTCGTTCAACTCACGATCACTCAAGCTTTCAGAAAATTATTGTTAACTGCCAAAGTGAAACTAAGAACCTGATTTTTCAGTGTCTGGCATGGCAAAGGGAATTTGGTAAAATGCTAGCAAATCACAAGTCTCTCTCTGACTGGCCTGGCATACTCATGGAGCACAGGTATAGATGGCAAAAGCTACACTGGAGGGGGGAATTAAGCCCTTAATCTTTAGCTTTTGGCTCATGCTCCTTGTTTTCCTTCTATTCTTGCTTTGTCTCCTTTCTTTGCACCCGCCCTCCCCCATGATATTTTTACTCTCATATTTTCATTAGTCTGTGACATTCTGGGGTGCAGTCCAGACCAGTGAGGGGCCTTACAATGCCTTGCTGCAGTAGCTCCCATCTGGGCTGCTCACAAATAGCCCACTAGCATTCAGTCGCACCCTGAATGTCTGTGTGATTTCAGCCTGCCAGCCACACTTGGGTTAAACTGTGGCATTTCTCAGCCTTGGTCATTGCGGAAGGGTGACCCCAACACAATCCCGGTCTCAGATTTTCTCCAAAATGTATATTCTGTCCTATCCAGCCCTTTCCTGGGCAGACCATACTATTAGATCCAGTGTTCCTTTAAAACAGGGTTTCCCAACCTATGGGTTGGGACCCAAATATGGGTCACCATTACATTTCAAAAGGGTCACCAAGTGTCTCCTCAAGAGGCTCTGCCCCTTCCTTCCCCCCGTTTTTGAATTGCCCTGGGTCACCAAATCTTTCTGAATTGTCAAAATGGGTCCCCATCTGGAAAAGGTTGGGAACCGCTGCAAGAACTTGCTACCTTAAATGGAGATACCCAATCAATTTAACTTAAGTGTATTGGATTAGTTTCAGTGAAAGAATAAAACAAGTTTATTTAATTACAGAGAGCTGGATTTTAAATGAACACAATTAATCATAGAACACTAGAACTGGAAGGGACCTTGAGAGGACATCAAGTCCAGTCCCCTGCTCTCATGGCAGAACCAAACACCTTCTGATCGTCCCTGAGAGATGCCTATCTAACTGATCTTGAATATCTCCAGTGATGGAGATTCCACAACCTCCATAGGCTACTTATTCCAGCGTCTAACCATCCTGACAGGTAGGAAGTTTTTCCTAATGTCCAACCTAAACATCCCTTGCTGCAATTTAAGCCCGTTGCTTCTTGTCCTATCATCAAAGGCCAAAGAGAATAATTTTTCCGCCTTCCTCCTTATAACACCCTTTTGGATACTTGAAAACAGCTATCATGCCCCCTCTTAGTCTTCTCTTTTCCAAACTAAACAAACCTAGTTCTTTCAGTCTTCCCTCATAGGTCATGTTTTTTAGACCTTTAATCATTTTTGTTGCTCTTTACCTGACCTTCTCCAACTTCTCCATGTTTTTCTTGAAATGTAGTGTCCAGAACTGGACACAATACACCAACTGAGACCTAATCAGCACAGAGTAGAGCAGAAGAATGACTTGCTCACAGCACACTTGTTAATGCATCCCAGAATCATGTTTGCTTTTTTGACAACAGCGTCACCCTGTTGACTCATATTTAGCTTGTGGTCCATTATGACCCCTAGATCGCTTTCTGCAATACTCCTTCCTAGACAGTCGCTTCCCATTCTTTATGTGTGAAACTGATTGTTCCCTCCTAAGTGGAGCACTTTGCATTTGTGCTTATTAAACTTCATCCTGTTTACCTCAGACCATTTCCCCAGTTTGTCCAGATCATTGTGAATTATGATCCTGTCCTCCAAAGCACTTGCATCCCCTTTCAGCTTGGTATCATCTGCAAACTTAATAAGCGAACTCTCTGTCATCAACAATCATGGGCTCAACGCCCGTTGATGTCTGATGCCTCCCTCACTATTTCCTTCCATCTTTCCTTGTCCAGTGTAGAGTGGCTTAGTTTCTGTAGACTAGCTCCACACTAATCTACGATATCATCTACTCATTCTCTGAGGGGTCTGTCTCTCCTATTTGGACCATCCATCATGCCAAATACTAACTTTCCCATCACCCAAAGCATTCGGATATTCTACGTTCCGATTGATAGTATATGTTAGCTGTAGTTTCCTTTCGGTAGTCAACTTACCAATCAAGCAATCGGGGTTGGATTGATATCAAAGACCTTGTTTATCTGGGTGACATCTGAGTCAGCATCTTTTATCAGTTAATCGTACTGGGATCAGATTTCATTCATATTGTTGTTTTACAATCAATGCATTGACAGTCACCTGACCAACCCTCCTCCTATATCATTGGTACCTACATGTACCACGACCACCAGCTCCTCCCCAGTACTACACAAGTCTTTCTAGATGTCTTGAGAGATCTGCAACTTTCACACCGGGCAGGCAAGTCACCATCCGGTTCTCCCAGTGATCACAAATCCAGTTATCTATTTCTATTGATCGATGGGAATGCGATACTTGTAGTCTTGCTCCTACGAGGAGTAAGGAAAGTTGAAGAGAGAGTGTACTTCCGTTGACTTCCTGCAGTGTGGATCACACCAAAATTCAATTTACGGTACTTTGAATCAAACTATGCAATTAATGCTGGCAGGGAAAGGACACAATAAGCTCTATCCTAAATCTCCCTGTCTGTCACACCTCCGTACACTACTCAAAGTGGCCAGCTTTGGGGGCCATGTGCTCTCTGCATGGTGGGTACTGGGTTGCAGGGAGCGTCACGTGCTGCCCCCATTCCCAAGCACAATCTTGCAGCTCCCATTGGATGGAAACTGATATTTACTTAGCCACCAAAGCTGGATGATTTGAGCAGCAAGCAGTGGTACAGGAGGCAAAGAAGTTGTCTGCACATCCTGCTGGGTTGCTGGTCTAGAGCTAACTAAGATAAGTGCCTCCCAGTCAGAGCCTGCACCTGGCATCCCAGGCCCTCCTGCAGCCCAAATTCCTGTCCCAGGTCACAAACCAAACTTTCTGCAGCCCCCTCCTGCACTCCTGTCCCAAGTCACAATCTGTTCCCAGACTCTGCATCCCCCTCCCTCTTCCCTTCTGGAAAGCATCTAGGACACTATACAAGCTAGCCTTAAATAAATAAGTAAATAAAACATCCCCCAGTGTACACTTGGGGAAAGGAGTGTTCTTCTCTGTAGAGCACTGCATGGATACAAAAATGTAGCTCTGCATCCAATCCGCATCTACCAGGCTCAAGTCATTCAATCTGCAATTTGCATCCTTACAGCAAACCATCTGTAGGGGAAGAGGGCAAGAGCACAGATGAGTGAGGAGGGTTATGCAGGAAAGAAGCAAGTAGCACAAAAGCAGGGGCTGAGGCTAAGAGGCAGCAGGGACCCAGGGTTGGATTGCTACAGGTCAGTGCTCACCAGGCAGAGGGGGAAAGGAGCTGGGCAAGACCGGCATTTGTCCCATCCAGTAGGGAGCTTTTTCATAACATAAGAACTAGGGACCATCAAATACAATTAATAGGCAGCAGTTTTAAAATGAAGTATTTGTTCATACAACACAGAGTCAGCCTGTGGATCTCCTTGCTAGATGATGTTATGAAGGCCAAGATATTCAAAG